GGGAGGGGTCAGAGGGGCGCCCCTTTTCTTCAGTTGACCGCAAATGAAGAAGGGAGAGAAATGGCCCTGAGCCGGGTCTCTGAGGTTTGGGGTCCCTTGGGCCCGCTGTGGGGGGCGGGCCCTGGGGGGAGGGGCCTCTGCTCCCCGCGTCTCCCTCCCCCGGACTCGCACCCCCACTTGGCGCCGCTCCGCGGCTCGGACCCGGCGCCACCGCCACCCAGGAGACAGCCGCCGCGCTGCCCGGGGAGCCGGGTGCGCGTGAAATAGAAACGCGGGGCTTCGTCGCTAAACCCCGACGCTCCGTGTGCCCCGGTCAAAGGTGCTGCCCAACACGATGGGCAAAGGGGACGTGTCGCCTCCTTCCGGCTTGTGACAACTCTTAGGTCTCTGCCACCAGATCTTAAGGAAGGCGTCCACTGTCCACACAGCGATTGTTACTCTGTCCCTTTGCTGGGGCCTTTTATAAACCTTCCGTGCCTTCGGGGACAACTGTCACCCTGGAAAGACTGAACAGAGCCGGACCGTCAGAGACGTGAAAGGTATTACGGTCCTTAAGAAATTTAAACACCTGCCTCTTATGCTAGCGAATAAGGGTTATGATCATCTACACCAAGGAGACTTCAGCTCAAATAAGTGCTCATAGTTGACAGAAGTATAATAATCTTCATTAATGTATTTTAATAGATTTTTTAAAAAATCCTAGTTTATGGACAAAAATCCAAGATTTGAGTATTTGTGGTTGTGGAAATGTCACACCCATGTAAGCTATCAGATCTCTGTCAAATGCACTTTTCAATTCAATTAAGTGGAGAAAGCTGGCTAAGGGCGAGGCCGCAGCTGGGCTGCTGGCTATTTCACGGAAGACGGACAGCCGGTGTCTTCCCGCGGGGCGGCGTGGGCGGAGGCGGAGCAAGTGCGCAGATCGCAGGGAGAGGCCGAGCCTTCCCGCGGCTTCAAGGGAGACGGCCGCTTCCAGTTGAAGGGCCAGGGTCTCATGAAGAGGGATACTCGTGGACCTCGAGGAGAAACACAGGTATCCTCCAAGGACTCCTTATGGGTACCTGGGCTCAAATTCATAACTGGAGTCCAGCAGCTAACAGGCTGCATTTCAGAGAAGAGCCGCAGGCTGGCCCGCCCGCCTCGGGCCGTTTCCGTGGGCTGAGCATCCTTCGAGGCCCTGGAACTGAATTCCAACCGACCGGACTGAGACTTTCCCCATCCAACTGGAGCGGCCCAGCTGCGTCCCAATTAGCATCTTCACCAACCAATCAGAGTGGCTGCGTTTTCACCAATTAAGACAGTGCCTTTTGGACCAATGAAGTTGTGAGGATTTAGAGCCCTCATTTGCATGAAGACAAACCAATCAGGAGCCAGGGGTGGAGATTTCTCTCCATCAGTCGGCCTCTGCGGGCGCGCGCCCGGTGTCCGCTGCGGGCTGCTGGCCCCTGGCGCGGCTGGACAGGCCAGGCCAGGCCAGGCCGGAGCGGAGCGGCTGGACTGCACAACAGAGATGTCTCGCCAGAGAAAGGCCGCCTTGCCCAGCGCTGATTCATAGCCATGCTGTTTCACAATTGTGCCATATCACAATTGAGCTGTTCGCTCTGAATAAAGTTTCCTTCACAGCTCTCCAAACTGCGGATTACTGTTCGCCTTGAATTGGTGCCAAGCAGCAATGTCATTTAATTTTAGCCTTGTCAGGCAGCCTGGAGCCACCATGGAGCCCAGGCTTTGGGACCAGACAGGCGGCATATGGGATCTGGTTTTACTATACTTACTGCTGAACTTGGGTGAGTCACATAACTTCTGGGAGCCTAGGCCTCCTCGTTCTGACATAGGGACCACAGGGACATCCCCCTCTGCTTGCTGTGTGCTGACCATGTGTTCTTTCTTTACCATCACAGGCATGAACCCTGACCCCCAATTCGAAGGCTAAACATAATGGGCACACAAAGATCACAGAAGGCGTAATAAAGGGTAAGTGGGATTTAGCATCCAGACACTGATACAAGGTGAAGGTTACCTAGGAACAGGAGAGATGATTCTATTCTGAACTTTGAAGGGCTTCAGAGCCTCAGGCCTGGAATCTAATCACCTGGTGGGTGATTGTGGACAAGTCTTTCTCCTCTAAGCCTTAGTGTTCTAATATTGCTGGGTTGTGTGGAGATTGGGGATGTCTAAAAACTCCTGTCCTACTGCCAAATATTTGTGAACGTTGAATGAATGGTAAGATAGTAATCATTTATTTATTTTTTAAATCCTTACCCTAGGATATTCTTCCATTGATTTTTAGAGAGAATGGAAGGGAGGGACGAGGGCAGGGGAGGGAGGGGAGGGAGAGAACATCCACATGCACCCTGATTCCCGTATGGGGATCAAGCCTGCAGCCAAGGTACTGCCCTTGACTGGGAATAGAACCTGAGACCCTCTGTCCATGGGTCGACGCTCAACCAACCAAGCCAAACTGGCCAGGGCAGTAATCATTCATTAAATGGGGGTATTATTGTTCCTGTTTCTGATTCTCTATGTGAACTTAGTAGGAATTCTCTCTGTGCCTCAATTTCCTTATCTGAAAAAGGAAATGATCCTGTTTGATTCTGTTCCTTGTGATTTAAGTAAACAAGTTGTTCCTTTTTGGGGGGTTTGCTTATTTCAGGGACTAAACTTGAACAAGGTGTCGTTCTAAAGCTTGAGCGGTTCCGGAGGTGTTCTTGGAGACTGGGCTTTGCAGCAGCTGCCAGCCTCCTTCTTTTGTTGGCTGAGCAGCCCGGGCACAGCCTGCCCAGGGAGATGTCTGAGTGCAGAGGGGTCAGGGAGAGGCTCCCCTGGGAGGATAGGTAGCACAGTCCGGAGCAACCCCTGGCTTGACACCGAGTCCCGAGTGAAAACCCCAGGGTGATTCACTCCATAGAGGAGGAAACCCAGCTGTGTGCTCCGAGGGCCCAGCTGGCATCCAGGGAAACTCTAAAAAGCGCCGTGACTGAGACGGGGTGGCGCGCCCAGCGTCAGCTCCGCCGGCATCCTTTTCTCTGCTCTAAAAAATTGCCTCCTTCCTTTCGAACACCCCATTCAAGTTGCTCCAGTTAACTTTGGGAGCACCCCAGCCCCACCGTTCCTAAGCTTCCTTCACCTCACTGACATCTCCACTGCAGCTCTCCCTCCCTCCTCCTCGTAAGGAGAAAGCCATTCGGAGCTGTTACCTGCTGACAGGTGTGGCTCCTGAACACCAGATGCTGCTCACAGCTCCCACTCTTTCTCAGGAAGTTTTCAGCGTCTGAGTTTCACTTCTTTTAGACCTGGAACTGAGTGTCCTGTGACACACTGCCCCTACACAACTCCAGGGGACCATACATTGTGAATGGTGTCCCCGGGACTAAGGACGGTCTGAGCGCGTTGTACAGCCAGGTGCTGGCATCTCAGGTCATCCTCACAACCACCCTGCAGTGAAAGGGTTACCCTCAAGCTGCGGGCGAGGACACTGAAGCAGAAAGGGCGACCGTGTGTTTAAGGATGAAAATACAGAGCTTGTGAGGGGCAAGCTGGCTCAGCCTCATGCCTGTCTGGCTCCAAGCTCAGGCTGTTAGTCACACCCCATCCTCCAACACCTGACTTTAAAAACCCAATAAAACCCCAACTTCAGCCCCTCACCCACATGCCCTCTTATCCTTCCAGAATCCCTACTTAAGGTTCTCCAACCACATACATGCAAAGTGGCACCTCTTTGGAAAATAACTGCCTGCAGGGGCCAGGGCAGTGAGACGTCTCATCTGGGAAGTGTGGCATCTAGTCTCAATGCTGCCAGTCCAGCTGTGTGTGATCTTGGGAGCCACTGGCCGCTCTAGGAGGTCATGGCCTCAGCTTTGTCTGTTTGCCAGGAACTGAGTGATTTCTAGGGCATCCCCTTGAGCCCTAACATTCTGAAATCTTCGTTCCATGAACATGATTTATTGGTCCTTCTGCAGTGTTCTGGAACACAGGAGGCTTGGATGTAGCTGCTCACAAAAAGTATTGTTGTGTGTGTTTCTGGAAGACCACCAGTCACTAGAAAATGTTGCGTATTTGAGATGTGAGAAGGGTGGTCGGTCTGCACTCTCCATGACATGTTCCTCAACAGCTGTTATAATAGGTGTTGCGGAGCCATGCTGTGCAGTCTGCACCTTGGAGGTGGTGGGAGACGGGGGAGGAGCAGGGCTGCCTGGGCCACCAGGAGAGTTTGGCCAGTCTGGTCAGAGGTGGTGACCACTCCTGACAGAGCGTGTGTCCTGGCTGCTGCTGGCTCCTCTGGGACGGGGGCCAGCTGGGCAGAGGTAGCCGCATTCTCAAGCGCGCTACATGTACTGTAACTAGTCAAAGCATGGCTGGGTGGCAAGCGCAGTC